ATATATATATACATATATATATACATATACATATATACATTTATACATACATATATATATATGTATATATACATATATTACATATATATATGTATATATGTATATATACATATATATATGTATATATACATATATATATCGGATGAGTTTGATATGCTATCATCATATCAACATTTTAGATGTAAAAATATATTAATGAGATTTTAAACAGATGTGTCACATTTAGATAAATATTATAGGTGTTAAAAAATTATAATTTTATTTTAGAGTTTTCTATGTGAAAAATTTCCAATATATTATTATAATATTAATATTTTATGTATATGCGCGTGGGTATCTTTTTATTTGGGCCTACATATTATATTATTGAACTGGTCTGACCACGAATCTTAAAGCATGTAACTGTGACATGGATGTGCCCAATCTAAGGCCCGAATCTTAAAGCCCAAATTCTAGACGGCGAAGGGAACAAAGGCAGCAGCTGGAGAGGGTAAGAACACGCTTGGGCAGCAAGAAAGCAGAGAGGAAGAGGAAGGAAGGGGGGAGATGGAAGTGCAAGAAGGCGCTCAGCAACCGCACCTCGTCCTCGCCCACAAGCTTTTCCTTCTCTCGCACCCCGACGTCGACGACATCGAGAAGGTCCGCCTCCGCGATGAGGTCGTCGATGCCGTCAAGATCCACGGTAATGACCACCACAACCACCACCACTGGATCGAGGGTGACGATCTTGTTGTAACCATATCATTTCTCCTTGTGTTGACGGCTGTGGAATCTGAACAGACATGGCCTCGCTTTTCGAGTCGCTCTCTTCTTCGTCGGTGCTCGGGATCGACGCCGCCGTTCTTGATTCCATGCGGACGAGGATCGAGGACGAGATCAAGAAGCTCGATGACAAGTGAGATCTCTTCTTCTGCGTACCTGTTAATGCGATTTCTCCCCTTATTGTGCTTGATCCTTGACATATATAAGTGGACGAAGCTAATCCCTAATTTCGTTGTTGTTCGTCGACTTCACATATGACAAGTAGTCCGTGGATTACTCTTCGGATCTGCACCATGGATCATGAAATTGTTGGTATCTAAACCATGTCAAAAAAGGCAAATATTAACCAAGCCCAACAAGCTAACAACATATTCGTGTAAAAGCAATAAATGTTTTAGAGTTCACTCACTTAAGACGACAACTTGCATGTTCAAGGGGGAAGATATAATATGTGGTTTTTTGGATCATTTAAACACTTTCTATCATCACTAGCTCTTATTTATGATACTCCAATTCTAATAATACATTACGGGATGCACATAGCTGGTTTTCAACTATAGTACAGCCTATGTCTGATGCTGTAATACAGCTGAAACAAATTTATGCAAAAAAAGTGTGTGCCCAGATTTCTTTTTTGTTTTCCTTCTTCAGAAAGCAACATTGTTCCTTCATCTGCTGTGCATGTACTGTTGGCCATAGAAATGGTGATTTCTTATTTGGTTAAAGAAAGCCATGACTGGAAATCTGCTGAAAAGAGCATAAGTAAGAAATGATTGTGTAAGATTGTCTGGTGATTCAGTAGCGTTTACACCTCAGCTGATGCTGGTGATAGATTGTAACGTTGAATTGAACAACTTCTTGCTGGTGTTTGTTTCTTTGGTTATCAAGGAGTGATAATGGTGGAGTTTGGGAAGTTAGACAATGTACGTGAGAAGATGAAAAGGAAAGAAGATTTTGACTTAGGGCTTAATTTTAGAAATGTCAAAGCAAATTATGTAGTGATTGCCATTTCCACATTTGTTGATGGCTATGTGATAGATTATCGTTGGTAGAAGTGCACTAGGCAGGGCCTATCTTGAGCCTCATATCTGCTGAAGTCAAGTGGCTACAACATGACATGGACCACATAAGAAAAGTAAGGTTTATAAAGGGTTGGATTTTAAAACTAAAATGTACGGATCTAAGATTTTAAACCCTTATTGTAAACATATATAGGGTTAGAATTTTAAATTCTACTTAGATTTATGGATTTGTGTTCAGTTTTTCATTCAGTTTCAAAGAAGGAACAATACTTGGATACCTGGGGTAGTGTATTTTCCTCCATGATGAACGTGTGAACATCAAGTTGTTTGATTTATAAGTAAACTATATCCAATTGAGCCCTCAAGTAAAACAGATCCTTAATTTGTTTGGCTCAAGATTTTAGTTAGGACACTGTTCGAGACTGGAAGAGACATCTAATAGGAGGCGAGATCATCACCATGGCACCCTTGAACTATTAATGCATCAAAAAATGGCTGCCAAAGTGGAGGAAAGAAACATCAGATCGGCTGCGAGTGGTATTATACTATATCTTGAGTGCTAGGAATTGTTTAGTATCATCAATTCCCCATTTGTTGGCCAGTAATTGAGGTGATAGTTGTTCCATTTATCAGTTGGTTGGGAGTGTGGTCTGAATTGAAACCTGTCTCTAAGAAGGGTAACTATGTCATTCTCTTTTTTCCTTTACCTTTACAGTACTAGGTTGAGTTCCTAATCACCACTTTAATCCTTGGTCACAAATTTAGCATACCCTACCTTTTAGAAGTACATTTAGAATTTATTGAATGCTAAGAAAAATTAAAATAATAACTTAATCGGATCTTAGCCTAATGGTTGGTTCTCCTCTTCATCTTGGACAGGTTTTCGGTTTAGATTGTCATGGTGTTAGTCCTAATCTTTTTATAGTTTGTACAAATATTTAAATATCTTCGAAGGTAGGTGCATTGTTTTGATGGTTCTAAGATAGTTTGGGACCACCTGAAATACAATGGAAAATTCTATATCAAATAGTTCAAGACCGCGTGAGATACAGCGACAAGTATTATGTCATCACTATCTGAAGGACTTTTTGAACCAATCTCGATAGGCCAAGACTTATAGTATGAAACAAGTTAATACCAAATAGGAACATGCTTGGCTGGGTTAATTCTTTCCTTGGGCTGAACAAT